CCTCCCATCATTTTCAATGTGATATCTGGGGTCAAGAAATTTGGGTAGAGCAGCAACTAAGCTTACAGTGGATATGGTGGTGAGAGCAGGAGGGGCAGAGAAGGAGGGAATGGGGACTACTTAGGGGCCCATTGGTCACATCTTGGAAGAAAGGCAGGATGTACATTTAATCTATCTATCAGTCCCATGGTGAGGGAACCAAAGAGGCAATGCTCTCACCTGTCCTTCCTGCTTCTCGTCCTCTTCCCGACTCAGGAGGAAGCCTTCCGCCAGGGCCACCGCCTGGGAAGAGGTCTCTGCCCCACACTCTCGGACCCAGCTCCCCATCTCTGGGGGCAGGATGCTCAGGAACTGCTCCAGGATCACCAGGTCCAGCATCTCCGCCTTGGTGTGTTGCTCTGGCTTCAGCCACTGGCGGCAGAGAGAGTGGAGGCGGCTGCAAACCTCTCTGGGTCCCTCGCCCTCTCGGAAGGAGGAATGCCTGAAGCGCTGGCACTGTATGTCTGAGCTAGAAAGGTCCACACTCTGGGACTTATGTGTAGTTTTTTTCCAGGGTGCTCCACTGCTCCCAAGTCCTGCTTCAGGTCCAGGTGAGTTGGGTCTCTCCATGTTGGAACCACTGTTTGTAGAAGAAGTAAATTGGATCCAAGATGCTTTTCCTCCCTCTTCTCTCAAGGGAAGGAAATCCCAAAACAGGCTCTATTCTAAAATTCTCAGCCAACAATCACATTTCCTCTGTGAAAGAAAGGCGGAATAAGACAACAGGCTTTGAGAGACTTTTTCTTGGGAAAAAAAAAACAAGCCTTGTATTTATTCTAGAGCCAGGTAATGTGGAGCCCTCCTTCCACTTGGGTCTTATTTATTATTTATTTATTTATTTAAAACATTTATATTTTGTCCTTTTCACCCCGAAGGGGAATTAGGGCGGAGAACAGCATATATACAGTAAATAATAATAATAATAATAATAATAATAATAATAATAATAATCTTTATTTATATACCGCTCCATCTCCCTGAGGGGACTCAGAGTAGTTCCCAGGTAACATCACAAAACATACAAAGTAAAAACAACATAATCATAAGATTAACAGAGCAAAATATAAGCATAAAAATTGTCGCCATAACACACATATATTAAAAGTAATCCTGTTTGTTCAAGGCAATTTAAAAATTTAAAAGGCTGGGCCAAGATTTGTGCAAGCCCAAAAATTCTAGGAAGCTTGGAAATTAAGTGCAATGCTATAGTAGGTATGGGTCTGTGGCTGTTCATTCTGGGGC